CGAGTCCAAGTGTTAGGCTATAGTGTAAGGATCATTCTTGCTAATAGCGATCTGCGAGTTTAGTGCAAAAACGCATGATCGTACCAGACAGCCTGGTGCTTTCCAGCCTGAGTTGCATTTGCATATGTGCAAAAACGCATAAAAGTGCATATAGGTAAGAGTTGCCTGTTTGTGTGTTCGCACTTTTTGTCACTCACCTTCAACTCAAGAAACAAAAAAGCTAGAAAGCTGAAACTTCGGGAGCATGTGCCAACCCCCTTTACAACCCTACAGTTTTGATATTATCATTCGCGATCGCCTAGGTTCCACGTAGAGCGCCTCAAAATATATACAGATTTTTTTTGGCCAGAAAGCGATCTCCAAAACATGAGAGGTTAGAGAACTGAAACTTTGCAAGAATATTCTCTCTGCATATGCGAGCTAAACATTTCAAATTCAGCCCCTAGGTGTGCGTGGTTCGCAGGCACGGCACGTAGAAGTTTTGGCGGACAAGCTGCTCAGTGAACAGCTAGGTCATTTTGAAGGTTCGTTTTCATTTATACAAAATATATGATGATTTACTTTAATGAATGCGCAAGGTAAAGCAACAACCAGTTAAAGAACTGATACAAAATTGATTGCTTCAAGTTTAGTGCAAAAGCACATAATCGCATCGGGCAAGCCTGGTACGCTTCAAATTGGGTTCGATGAACGATCGGTCGCCGAAGATTATTCATTCCTCTTCATGCAAAATGTACAGTAATTATGAATGCCGGAATTTAGTATGTCGCACGACCCCATGATACAGTGCTACCGTCCTTGCAGGCGCCTTTTTCCCCCTGCATGCAAAAAAGGTCAAAACACACCCAGCGTAGATGCAAAGCGCATAATATTAACAAAAATATTATAATAGTAACAATAACTAGGTAACAATGATAACTGTAACAATAATAGTAGTAATAACAGTAATAATAATAGTAATAATAATAGTGGTAATAATAATGGTAACGATAACAATAACCATAATAGTAACAATAAATAATAAATAGCTTGCTTGTAAGCAACTCTCAAAAGAGGGCACCATCGACGGCCTTTCTAGCGTATGGTTGCTATTGGCATTTGCTTCCACAAGGGGTACTTCCCGAGTGCCTCTGCCTTCATGAAGAGTGAAGTACGGAAGGGGGACTTTGGGTAATAAGTTAATTTCTAAGACAGATAATATGTTAAGA